TGGTAGGATCAAGACTGTAGGTCCTGGTGAAGTGAGAAAATTGTGAGAGTAGGGATATTAGAGGGAGTGAATTGGCCAGACACAAGGTGGTGGCTGGAGAGTAGGGTACATGACAGAGGTTATGGAGAGATCACAGCTATTAATAATAACTGGTGTGACCATATGAAAAAGGTATGAGGTAAAATGGAGAGAGATCTTGAGGAGCATGGAGGGCAGGCATTGAGAGGCCAGAGTGTTCCTAAATATTGATACTGCAGGGATTTTGACAAAGGAATGTTGGAAAGGCGTCACAGGGAGGGGTAACACAAAACCTTCAAGGACTGAGGAGGGGAGGGTATACATGCAGGGGGCCGTAAATAACTGCAACAGAAAGGAGTAGTGGGTGCCATAGTCTCAGGACATGAGATTCAAATCAGGAGAGTGGTTAGCAAGGAGGCAGAGATAATGGTCTGGAAGAGACATCAATTTAGAAGCATCTGTGAGGCACAGAGAGGCACTCCCTTGGCCCAGTGGTGTAAGGTTATATGAGAGGAAAAATCCCCACTACTTGAGAGAGCTGTCAGGATAGCAGTGTAGCAGTGTCTTCAGAGAGCGATAATTAAGTTTTTCTTAAAAAAGGTGAAGGGACTGCTCAGGTGACTGTTGTAAACAGGGAAGTAGGGGCGTGGTGGGATCAGTGGTCTCCATGGGAGAGAACAGTGGTGCAGCTGTCAGGGTTGCAGAGCCGGAGGAAGGAGGTTGAGATTCTTGCCATGAACAGAGTCCATGCACCTAATGTTTCAGGCAGTCTAAACTCTAGAGGCCTGGAGAACTTTACCACTCTGGTCTTTTGATTCTAAAAAGGATGTTGACTTGTGAGAAGGTAGTTAATGGTCTGTGTTGCTTAAAACATTTTTTATTGCTTTTGACTTTAAATTGCATTGATGCAGGACTTTTTGTCTATAACCTCAGGATTCCTCCAGTTGAAAAAGAACCAGGCTATGTACATTAGAGTGGAGTTCTAGGTATGAGTTCTCTAGTGTGTAGAAATGAATTAACCAAGTGGAACTCTTTCTAGGGAAGTATGGGCATTTCACAGATATAAAATGGGGAAAAGAGGGTCAGGGGAGGCTCCCTGAGAAAGTTCCTGGAACTCAGTCCAGACTCGGTGTTCAGTAAAGAACTGTCTTAGCTGGGCATGATGGTGCATGCCTATAGTCCCAGCTACTTGGGAGGTTAAGGGAGGAGGGTTGCTTGTGCCCAGGAGCTCAGGGCTGTAGTGTGCCATGATTGTGCATGAGAATGGCCACTGTACTCCAGCCTGGGTGACATAGGGAGACCCCATTTCTTTAAAAGCAAAAACAAAAACTTTTTCCTCCTTTGTTGAATGCCCTTTCCCCCCATCCCTGTGCCTATTGCTGTTTCTTTGGATGTTATTTAATTTCTCTGTGACTTAGTTTCCTGTCTGTCAAATGCACATGATCATAGTCCCTACTTCATAGGAAAGTTGTAATAATTAAATGAGATAATACATGTGTATTAGTCTGTTTTCATGCTGCTGATAAAGACATACACAAGACTGGGTAACTTATAAAGAAAAAGAGGTTTAATGGACTCACAGTTCCATGTGGCTGGGGAGGCCTCACAATCATGGCAGAAGGTGAAAAGCACGTTTTACATGGTGGCAGGCAAGAGAGAATGAGAGCCAAGTGAAAGGGGAAACCCCTTATAAAACCATCATATCTCATGAGACCTATTCACTACCACCAGAACAGTATGGAGGAAAATGCCCCCATGATTCAATTATCTCCCACTGGGTCCCTCCCACAGCATGTGGGAATTATGGGAGCTACAATTCAAGATAAGATTTGGGTGGGGACATAGCCAAACCATATCAACGTGTAAAAGTATTTAACACAGTACATGGTGCATAATATAAGTACTTCAATATGATTTGCTATTAAATGACAAGTGGTTAAGTTCTTGGTTCCCATTCAGCTCTCTTATTCTTGCCATTATGTTTCTTCTTACTTCACCCCCTTTCTCTTACATCTTCTTCTTCCCTTTCTCTCGTTCTTTTTCCACACTTCCTCCTTAACCTATTTCCTCTTTCCCTCCCCTGGCTTTGGGTGCAGTGGCATACGCACCTAGTTCAGTACTCTTTGTGGCCCCCTGAAGTAGAGAAGTCTTGGAGTAGGGGTGAGGCAGCCACCAGAGGAAGGAAACTGCTGGTGGGGACAGTCTCTTGGCCACTCCATCTGAAGTCTGTAGCCACAGTGGCTGCAGAGATGAAGTGGGCCAGTGACAAGAGGCTCAGGAGCTGGGAGGCCTATGTTGCAGGGCAAGTTTGGCTACTGTATGATGTGTGGCTGGGGCACCAGACAGTAGGCAGAGCATGCTATGAAGATGAGGATCATTTGAACAGGAGGGGACTGGGCTAAATCACCGTGTGGAGGGACAAGTGAGGACATGTGCATGTCCTGCCTCGGTCCTGTTGCTGATACCACTATGACTACTCCCATTCATAAGGGTGGCTCCTCCCCACGGAGCAACTCCTATGAGTCAGACTTCTGTGGGAGGGAGCGAGTGAGCAGGGGACAGCTGAGTGTGCTGGCTAAGACTATAAATTCTAGAGCCAAACTGCTTGGATTTGAATCCTGGCTCTGTCACTGAATGAGAATGTATCCTTGAGTGAGTTATCTAACTTTTCTGTGCCCCAGTGTCCCATCTCTAAAACGGATATAATTGGAACAATACAGTTCTTATGAAGATTTGTTTAAATTAACTGTTTACAAAGTGATTTTCATAGTTCATGGCATAAAAGAAGTACCATGCTAGTTTTTGTTATATTTAAAAAAATGTTTAAATCATACAACAATCTTATAACAGAAGACTGACTTTCATTTTACTGATGCCAAAATGGAGATGGAGAGTTTAAGGGCCTTGGCCAAGGCCACGGGGCTACCGAGCAGCAGAGTCAAATCTAGAACACAGCTTTGACAGACTCCAAAGTCCTAGCTTGTAACTGCAATTCTTAACTGCCTCCCTGGACATTCAGGTGGAGACTTTGCTTTCTAGGAGCTGGGAGGCAGGGTGAGGCAGGTGGGCAATGTGAGTCAAGGTGGGTGGTCAGCAATTGGAGTCTGAGAGGTTGGCAGAAGTACTGCTTGAGGACACACCTGGGACTAGTAGCTGCATGCCCTTGGCCCAGCTCCTTGCTATGGGAGAGAGCAGCCTGGCTTCCCAGGCCTGTTTCAGGGAGAGGTCAAGTCCCTTAGGTGCATGAAGGTGCTCATTTCAGCCAGAGAGCTGAGCCTTCTTGGGACTTTTTCCTTCCTTCCCTATTTTCCAGGCGACCTCAGGGAAGTTAATAACCCTTTTGCACCTCAGTTTCCTCATCTGTCAATTAAGGGTAATACTTGACCTGGCTGCTTCCTGGGGATTTTGAGACATTGAGTAGATTGTGGATGTGAAATCATTTGAAAAGCATAAAGCAGTACCTAATTTTCAGATACTAGAGTGATCTCAGACCACAATACTGTGAGGTCCAGTGTAGGCCTCTCAGACCTCCATAGCTACCTTGTGCTGATAATGCCCAGTATCCAATCTCGTGACCTTTTCCACTGGGGTCTACAGTGGTACTTGGAATCTTACCTCCTTTTCTCAGTTTTTACATTTCCCTTGGTGAGTGTAAAGTAATAGTTGAGCAGCAGGTGGGGTCCCTGGGAAATTATTTTCCGTGTGGATTTTTATTTTAAAGAGCCAGAGCCAATGTCTGTGTCCAGGCTCCACAGTTGTCCCAGCTCCCATTCTGGGAGCTCTGCCATCTTTTTGGTTTCAGCCCTTGGCATAAGACAGACCTGGGCTCCTGTGCCTGGGTAGCCTGTAACTGCCTCCTCTCATTAGCACACAGTCTTGGTTATGTGCTTGCCCTGTGGGGAAAGGGAGGCATCTGATCCTTTCCCCTGGGTGCCTTTGTCTATCCTGGCATCCTTTGGTGTGTGTGTGTGTGTGTATGTGTGTGTGTGTGTACACGTGTGTACGTGTGTGTGTGTATGGTAGGGATTATGTAAGCCCAAGAGGCTAGGCCTCTTGTCAGCTGCCAAAGTTCTTTTTTCCCCAGAACTGAGTTAGCCACCCAACTGTTTCCATTCTCTGCCCGCTGCGAAGCTCTACAGCAGAGCCCCTATGGCAGGTCAAAACATGCTCTGCTTTGATAATACAGAGATTCCATTTTGAGAGAGATGGGAAACAGGAGCGAGTGAGTGGGTGTGTTGGATGTAGGGAGAGTGAGGACATTCTTTTTGGTAAGCTGTGCCAAAATTGGCCCAGCAGCTTGGTCTAAACTCAAAAGTAGGGCTAATGCTGGGCTGACACCCAAATATCCAATGGGGAAACTTTATTCTTGGATCTAGACCCTACGAGACCTAGCAATCTTTTTTTTTTTTTTCCCCATCTGGAATATGGGGATAATTCTACTCCATATGTTCTTCATGTCAAATGAGAAATAAACTTGTAAATAATCTACCATCTAGTCACCAGGAGCAGGAAGTGACATAAGGTTGTGATTCTTAAAGTACATTTTGCAGAATACAAACTGTTACTAAAAAAAGAGTCACTTGCTAAATAAGTTTGGGAAACACTGGATAAACAATGGCAAGTAGGTTTCTTGTCTATAGGGACCACTCAGGTCCTTCATATTCCAATAATACGCATGGGAAACCACCAAGGGGATATATCATATGCCACATTTCCTAAATTTTTAACCAGACTTTCTTAGTGGAGCATTTACAAGTCCCTTTTCTACGAAAGACATCTAGGAAGATCCTGATCTAGATCAGAAGAATATTCATTTTGTTCTTTTTTTTTTTTTCTTCCTGCAATTGTATAAAGAAGTGAATTGGTGAAATGCATGGGATTGCTAAAATATGGGTCCTAAACAGCAAGGGAGGTCAACTTTGGACTCTATTGAAATGAATGCTTCCTGCTCTGAAATACTTCTCTCCCTCCTATCCTCACAGCTCCCCTTTGAATTGGAGATTTACTACATTCAGCATGTTATGCTCTACGTGGTACCCATCTATCTGCTTTGGAAAGGAGGTAAGGCCAGCAAACCACATTCCTATGCAACCCTCACACCTAGCCTCTCCCTTCTGTTTTCGGGAGTCACAGCCTCTTGGGTGCTTCCCAGGATCTTCAGCTGCCTCTTGGCTGAGTTTCTTCAGCATGATTTATGCCGGGCACCAGGAAGTGGGGAGATGGGAATGGACGAAGCCTGCAAGGGGTCTGGGGACTTTTTAGACCCGTACTTCACTGGGTGACTATGGTGCTGCTGACTGCCTGTCACAGGGCCTGGGCTTTGTGTCTTGGTGGTGGCATTGCATTTGCATGGAGCCCCCCACACTGTCACCCTCTTGTACTTGTGCCTTCCCCCTGCCTCAATGTGCAGTGTGGGGTAGAAGAAGAGAGTGAAACACTTGGTCCCCTCAAGAACAAAAGAAGATATGTAAGGGCCAAGAAGTCCAGGGACCAGGACAATTATGGGATTGAGGGGAGAGGCAGGTGAAAGAGCAGTGTCACCCATGTAAAAGAAACCACTGAAAACCTTCATTTGGTGAAGAGGGAGAGACCACCAACCTGGTAAAGGCAGCCTGGAAAGGAAGCTGATCTATTTGTAACCTCTCAGTGACCCTTAGATTATCCCTTCCCTCTATTGTGTAATAGACAAAAGGAAAGGGAAGTGCTTGTCCATCTAGGCTTGTTGTGAGAGCCACTCCTTCTCAGTGTTCTTTATTTCCTGAAAGTCCCTGTGACTGGAAGACGTCCTCTTTCAGTTTTAGCCCCAGCCTCTCGATCTCAGTTGCTGAGACTTTTCTGCTCCTACCTCACTCCAGGCAGCAAGGGTTTCATTTCTACCATACTGAAAGTGGCATGAGGCCACATGGGCCCTTGAGCTCACTGGAAGATGGTCTGGGAGTTCTGCTGGACGCTGCTGCTTCTTGGATTATGCGTGGATGCTCTAACTCAGGCATTCTGGCAGATCTTAAGATCTGGTGTGAGATAGCCCCAAGGACCGGTCAACCCAGGAACATATTACAAGATGGAATCTACTTATAGTCCAGAGATTTGCCTCCTGTACTTTGATTTCTATCAGTTCTCCATACTTGCCTAAATATTCTTTGAGACTGCTTTTACCCTGTGCAGCCACTTGGGGTCTCATGATGTCCAAAAACGCTTCCTTTTAATTTGCTGTAAAAGCACTATTTTCCCCACAAAGCTTTAAGGAAAGTCTGAAGTTCCAATATCCAGGAGACTTGTGCCATTTCTTAGGTCTGTCCCCTGTGGCACAGGAAACAGCCTCTTAATATTAAGTCTCAGAAATACACGTATTCTGAATAGAACCAGGCAGATAGGTGTTCCTGGGCCTCAGACCCGTGCTACTCATTGTTCCTGGCTTCTGAGGTGTATGATGGAAGTCCTAGCCAAATCTGCATGGCTGTTATTTAAACATATTTGTACTCTAAGGTCACCATAAAAATCAGTCAGGTAGCTGGGTTAGGCTGGTCTGACATGAGAAATACCAAGTAGCCGTCTTTCCTCCCTCCAAAAGAATAATCCAGGAAGCCACATCCTCAAGACTTGGCTAACTCTAAGATAATTTTATCTTCTTAGAGCAGATCCTCCCGGTAGCCCAGTTCCCTAAGTGGCAAGGGGAGAGATAGTAGGGCTGTAATGAGAGACAGTATGGTCTGTTATTGCTAATAACCCATAGATACCCTGGCGCAGTGAGGGTTTAGCTTGCAGCACAAGTGGAGTGATCTCACCAAACTGACTTTACTCCAGACCTGAATGAGAGCATCTACCACTCTGCAGAAGTTGATGGGCCCCAGTACCTTCTATCTGGTCAACTTTGAGCTATTTTGAGGGCTCATCTCCCATCTCCCTTTCCAGCTCTTTACTGCCATCTGCTGTTCACTTGGGGGGAATTATGAGCATTGAGAGAAACATCTGGATTTCTTCAGCTTTGATCCCGAGCCTTGGACCTAGGCCTTGAAGAGGGAGAATGGATCTGAAGCAAGCTGTCAGAAGATTAGTTTTCTGTAAACCAAGAAAGCCGAGAGTTTGGGGTTTCTCTTCCCTAGAAGTCTCTTGTAATTTTGTAGAAATAAATGGCTTAGCAATTTTTACCCAATACAAAACAGCTCTCCTATAGGTATCTCCCATGCCCAGGAACCCTGTTTTCCTGAAAGGCAAGGTCCTGCTTGAGCATATAGTGCCTCTTCCTATTGTTTGGGGTGGGTGGGTAGGTGGTGCCTTGTGGGAAACCCACTCATCCCTTACTCTTGTGGACCTTATGCACTGTCACAGTACATGGAACCTCTCTCATCCACACTGCTCTTTTCTTCCTCTGGCCTGTCCCTTCGTTTCCCTGTTTCCTTTCCTTCAGACTTGTTGCCCATGGTCCTCTGGAACTGCATTTCTTTTTTTCTGTGTTACAGTATTTTTAAATTTAGTTTTTATTAGATGCTGACAAATTATGCTTTTATATATGTATAGGGTTCAAGGTGATGCTACACTATGTGTATACAATGCAGAATGATTGAATCAAGCTGATTAACAAACTATATTTCTTACAAACCACTCCCAGCCTCACCAGCAGCTCCACATGGGGCACAGAGCCTTCCTGTCTCTTGCCTGCAGCTTCTTCTAATGGAGGCTGCTCTTTCTGCCCTGCCCCATATGCTGCAGAGCCCCCTCTGTCTCTTCTAGAGCACTATCTCATCTGTATGTTAGGGGAAAAAGGCTTTCTCTTTTGCCATTCTCTCTCGTTTTTTTCATCACCACCGTCACTTGACCTCTTAGTCACTTCCCCCACATTCCTAGAAGTCGCTGGCCTGTAGCTCTCAGTATTTCCATTAAAATTTGAGCCAACATCCTGAGAGACTTCTTGTAAGGACCTCCCATCCACCCCAGCTTCTCAAGGTCTGGGCTTCTTAATTGCAATGACCTCAGCATTTCCTTCCTTTCAGCCACCAGGACCTTGTTTTCCTGTAAAGCTCTGCTGTATGAGAACGTAACTGCTGTTATGTTCTTTCTTTGACCCAAATCTCCACTCCTTTCCTCTTCTTTTCTTCCTATTCAGCTTGTATCTCCATGACCTGTCATTGAAACTTTCACTAGCTCCTGAAAGCGTCTCACTTCCTTTGTCCCTTCCAACTGGGGTCAGTGTCCCTTCCCTTTTCAGTGTGCCCAGTCTTGGCCTACTGGAGGAACTCTTTCAAGCCATTCTAATTAGGGCCATGAAAATGTCATGATGTCTATTATAATTGTGCTGTCAACACCATTGCTCAATTTATTTTCTGTCTATGGTCAGCTCCTCCACACATTGTCTGTTGGGGGAAACCCACCCCTGATATTCAATGTGAGTCCTTTTCTATTTTCCCTAAGTGTCGGCTGGTCTGAGAAATAAAGGGAAAGAGTACAAAAGAGAGAAATTTTAAAGCTGGGTGTCTGGGGGAGACATCACATGTCGACAGGTTCCATGATGCCCCCTGAGCCTTAAAACCAGCAAATTTTTATTAGCAATTTTCAAAGGGGAGGGAGTGCACGAATAGGGTGTGGGTTACAGAGATCACATGCTTCAAGGATGACAAAAGATCACAAGGCAGAAGGTCAGGACGAAACTAGAATCACTAATGAACTTCCATGTCCTGCAGTGTACACATTCTCAGGGTTCAAGAGCAGAGAACTGGTCTGACTAGAATTCACCAGGCTGGAATTTCCTAATCCTAGCAAGCCTGGGGGTGCTACAGGAGACTAGGGCGTGTTTCATCCCTATCTACATCTGCATAAGGCAGACACCCCCAGAACGACCATTTCAGAGGTGTCGTCTGGGAATGCATTCTTTTCCCAGGACTGTTAATTATTAATATTCCTTACTGGGGAAAGAATTCAGCGATACTTCTCTAACCCATTTTCGGTAATAAGAGAAATATGCCTCTGTCCTGCCCAGCCCACAGGCAGCTAGACTTTAAGGTTATCTCCCTTGTTCCCTGAAAATCGCTGTTATCCTGTTCTTAAGGTGCCCAGATTTCATATTGTTCAAATACACATGCTCTACAAACAATTTGTGCAGTTAACAAAATCATCACAGGGTCCTGAGGCAACATACATCCTCAGTTTACGAAGATGATGAGATTAAGAGATTAAAGACAGGCATAGGAAATCACAAGAGTATTCATTGGGGAAGTGATAAGTGTCCATGAAATCTTCACAATTTATGTTCTTCTGCCATGGCTTCAGCTGGTCCCTCTGTTCGGGGTCCCTGACTTCCCGCAACAATTGCCCTCACAAGTCCTGTGCTAAATCTTTACCACCCTTCTCAAACTTCCTGTCCACTCTATTCAAACCTTCTGTTCTCTCCACCCTTGGTAGATCCCCACCTCTCCCCACAAATGACTGAGAAAATTGAGGTTTTGGGATGGAAATTTCCTCAACACTTATCTCTACCTCTACAAGCTTCTTTACCCACATCCATCCCTATCTTCCTCCTTCTTATCCTGGAAGAATTGGTGTTCATTCTGTTCTGGCCAATAATACCCCTGTGTGATTAGCTCCCACCTCTGCAGCCTCATTCTATCAATTAATCACTTATGTACCTGCATATTCTTTTTCTTTCTTTCTTTCTTTCTTTTCTTTTTTTAGACAGGGTCTCCCTCTGTCACCCAGGCTGGAGTACAGTGGTGCAATTACGACTCATTGCAGCCTCAACCTCATGGCTCACATGGTCTTCCCGCCTCAGCCTCCTAAGTAGCTGGGACTATAGGCACATACTACCACACCCGGCTCTTTTTTTTTTGTATTTTGTAGAGACAGGGTTTTGCCATGTTGCTCAGGCTGGTTTCAAACTCTTGGGCTCAAGTGATCTTCCCACTTCAGCCTCCCAAAGTGTTGGGATTACAGGCATGAGCCACTGTACCTGGCCATTACCTGAATTTCCAACCCTTTCTTCACTGCTGGCTTTTCAGCCAATACAGATGTTCAAATCTTTCCCATTCTAAGAAACTTTCTAGCAATCCCATGCAACTCTGTCTTCCCTC